TTTTTGCGATAGTCTTGCTCTGTTGCCCAGGCTGAAGTGCAGTGGCGCGATCTTGGCTCACTGCAACCTCCACTTCCTGGTTCCTGGTTCAAGCAATTCTCCTGCCTCAGCCTACTGAGTAGCTGGTATTACAGGCACACACCACCATCCCCAGCTAATTTTTGTATTTTTAGTAGAGACAGGGTTTTACCATGTTGCCCAGGCTGGTCTTAAACTCCTGACCTCCTGATTGGCCCGCCTCGGCCTCCCAAAATGCTGAGATTACAGGTGTGAGTCACCATGCCCGGTCCTGACTTATTTTTTGTAGACATGGGGTTTTGTCATGTTGCCCCGGCTGGTCTCGAACTGCTGGATTCAAGGGATCTGCCTGCCTCGGCCTCCCAAAGTGGCGGGATTATAGGCACGAGCCACAATACCTGGACCCTATAATTTTTATTCTCCAGACCCAGCCAGAGTTACTTGGACCTCATCAGACAACAGGGCCTGCACAAGAGTCCATCTGCCACATCACCTTGTTACAGTGCTCTGTGATAGCACTGCGGGCACCTTCACTTTTGCTGAGCAGGTTCTGTCTAGAACAACTAGGTAGAGGGAGACATGCAGGTTCCCCTCCTCAATCCTCATATCCTATTTATCAGCCACTAATCCCGTTACCTCCTCAGTCTTAGGTTGGGTTCCCTAGAAATAGAGCCTGAGGCAGGGATTTGAGTACACGCCATTTGTCTAGGGGGTGCTCTTCAGGAAAAACCTCAAAGGGGTGAGGGAAACAGGATAGGAAAGAAGACAGAACAAAGCAAGGACGTGGGCTCAGCCAGCTTTATGCTCAGCTTGCCACGCAGGGGCTCTGTGCCACAGGGCTGCCCTGCTTTGAGGCGGGGCTTTGGGGCTGGGCCTTTTATTCCTAATATTGGTCAGCCTTTGGCTGCCAGTGAGTGGTGGTGGTGATGAAGGGTGTAACCTTTTGGAGGAGGCCCAAGTCAGCAGAGCCAGTTCTCCAGAGGAGGGCAGCCAAAACTCACAGCATCCTGCCCAGGTAAAGTGGATTTGGCGAAGGTATCAAGGGCACCCATTACAGTCTCCGAAACAAACAGGAATCCAATTCCTTTTCTCCAGCCCCACCTGACCCCTGATCCAAGCCATTATATCTTTTTTTTTTTTTTGAGACGGAGTTTCGCTTTTGTTACCCAGGCTGGAGTGCAATGGCGCGATCTCGGCTCACCGCAACCTCCGCCTCCTGGGTTCAGGCAATTCTCCTGCCTCAGCCTCCTGAGTAGCTGGGATTCCAGGCATGTGCCACCATGCCCAGGTAATTTTTTTTTGTTTTTAGTAGAGACGGGGTTTCACCATGTTGACCAGGATGGTCTCGATCTCTTGACCTCGTGATCCACCCGCCTCGGCCTCCCAAAGTGCTGGGATTACAGGCGTGAGCCACTGCGCCCGGCCTGCCATTATATCTTACCTGGAAGACTCAACACCTCATTGCCCCCCACATAGCCAGGAAGGCAGGTCTACGTTTAATTCAGTCTTTTCACAATAGTCAAAGTGGTCTTCAAAGCCTATTAGGGCGGGTCACAGTAACTCATGCCTGTAATCTCAGCACTTTGGGAGGCCGAACCGGATGGGATCACTAGAGGTCAGGAGTTTGAGACCAGCCTGGCCAACGCGATGAAACCTCGTCTCTACTAAAAATATAAAATTAGCCGGGCGTGGGTGCCTGTACCCCCAGCTACTTGGGAGGCTGAGGCAGGAGAATCGCTTGAACCCAGGAGGCGAAGGTTGCAGTAAGCCGAGATTGTGCCACTGCACTGCAGCCTGGGTGACAGAGCTAGACTCTGTTTAAAAAAAAAACAACAACAAATCCCAACGACCGTCTGACACCCTTGGGGAGAGCACCCTCAGAGAATCTCCAACATTAGGTCTCAGTTTTCCCATCTGTAGAAGACAGCCGTGGAGAGTGGGAGAGCCGCTAGGCTTCCAGATGGAAGTCATCGCGCTCCTCCTTGTACTCCAGCACGTGCCGCTTGATCTTGGACAAGTCGACCCAAGTGACAAAGTCCTCCATGCTGCGGGTAACAAGGAAGGCGGGGTCGGTAACCACGTCAGGGCCCACGCCTATGTGGCCTTGCTCCACACAGGCCACGGCAGCCTGAAGGTGCTGCGCCATGCGCAGCTTGAGGAGCACGATGGGAAGGCGGTGGCGGCAGAAGGAGGAGGCCGTGACGAAGTCGCAGAGCTCCAGCGAACCGCGCGTGGGCACCAGGCCGAGAGCATACAGCTTGTCCAGCAGCGCGGCGGAAGCACGCACACGGAACGGGTCGCGCAGGCGCCGCGCCAGCTCACGCACGGCACGGCTCAGCTGGTTGTAGCGCGTGTAGTCCTCCCGCCGCTGCAGCCGGTAATGTCGCAGCGCGCGGAGCTCGTGCACGTTGTGATCGGTGACCTCCCAGTTCAGAAAGTCCACCTGCTTCAGCAGCTTCGGCTCGTGGAACTTCAGCTTCCGCACCATGATGGCGGAAGCCGCAGCTGCAGGACCCAAAGCTGAGAGCGCGTTCTGGCGCCTGCGCGATTTCAGCCACAGCGCGCCAAGACCTGGAAGCCCTGGGACCCTGGGCCAAGGAAAGAAAAGCTTAGGGTCACGCCCTCACTTCCCATTGGTCAGGGTGAGACCACGCCTCTGCACTGGCATCTCCAGGTTGTTCTTTTCTTCGCATTCGCTGTGGGAAAGGGTAGAAGCACCGAAGGGTGGGGCGGGTCCCTAGGAGGCTCCGGGCGGCTTTCAGTAACCAAGACTGCGTCTCTTTCTGCAGGCATCATTTCCTCCTAGACTTCTGCCCTTTGGGACTTTCAGATTCTCCCCTGCAAGAGCTGAAGAGGCCATTTTTGGGGAAGAGGGGTGACTGCGGCTTGTTGATTGGGTTTACAGTGCTAACTACCACTGGGCTTCTGCAATGCCGTGGAGCTGCTTGCCACCTGCTCCCCTGGGGCTGACCAGGTAGTTCCCGCTGCCCGCCAGCGTCAGGTCTTTCACCTGGCAGGCGGAGCGATTTTTCACAGTCAAGTTGGACCGGGTGGTACCGAACTCATGAAATACTGATCGCCTGGCTGCTTCCTAGGAACACAGAACCAGGATCTATAAGGGAGCCGCCTGGAAATCTGTATTATTAAGGAAAGTGTCAGGTGATTCATAAAACCCAGCAAGTTTGAGAAACTTGGACTGTAAGTACAAGTCCAAACCCTTTAGTCTGTGCTCAAATGAATTATCCTGACATGGATTTCTGGCCACCAAGCATTGAGTTAACAAGTTTAACGCTGTCTGGGCTAGTTGTATCTGTAAGTTACTTCTGAGTGCAGCGCTGCAGACCTAACCCCTTTTTGCCCAGGCATTTGACGCCACCTAGCTTCTCTCTCATCATTTTTGTTTCGTGTGCTTTTCATTGTCTTTTACAATACAATGCTTGGGGGCCGGGCTCTGTGCCTCAGTCCTGTAATCCCAGCACTTTGGAAGGCTGAAGTGGGAGGATCATTTGAGGTCAGGAGTTCAAGACCAGCCTAGGCAAAATAAATAAATAAATAAAAATAAAAAAGAAATGAGATCCCGCCTCTGTAAAAAAAAAAAAAAACTCTTAAAGAATAATCAGGCATTGTAGTGTGTGCCTGTAGTCCTGACTACCTGGGAGGGTGAGGGAGGAGGATCACTTGAATCCAGGACTTGTAGTCTGCAGTGAGCTATGATCGTGCCACTTCACCCCAGCTTGCACAACAGAGCCAGACCCTGTCTCCAAAATATACATATATATATATATATATATATATATATATATATATATATATATATATATATATATATATATGTATATATATAAAGTTCTTATGAACCTACGACTACCTGGCCTGACACAGACAGATGTGTCTGGTGGAACTGGTTACTTTTATATATATAGAGGATTCTATATCTGGAAAATAATATACATAGTATGTAAATTGTAAACTATAATAAATACTCATGAACTTAGCCAGTTTAAGAAAACATCACCAGGCTGGGCATGGTGGCTAATGCCTGTAATCTCATACTTAAGGATGCCAAGGTGAGAGGATCACTGGAGCCCAGAAGTTCAAGACCAGCCTGGGCAACATAGTGAGACTCAGTCCCTACCAAAAAAAAAGAAAAAAGAAAAGCCAGACATGGTGGCAGCACCTATTGTCCCAGCTACTGCTACTGGTGGGATTTTGGAGGTAAGACGGGGGAAGATCCCTTGAGGCCAGGAGTTCAAGGCTGCAGTGAGCTGTGATCACACCACTGCACTCCAGCTTGGGCAACAGAACAAGATCCTGCCTCTAAAATAGAAAACTGATATAGATCGTTTGTTTTTAAAAATCTAATTGATTCTCTCTCTCTCTCTTTCTTTCTTTCTTTTTGGAGACAGAGTCTTGCTGTGTCACCCAGGCTGGAGTGCAGTGGAGCAATCTCAGCTCACTGCCACCTCTGCCTGCCAGGTTCAAGCTATTCCCTTGCTTCAGCCTCCTGAGTAGCTGGGACAACAGGCGCTCACCACCATGCCCAGCCAATTTTTCTATTTTTAGTAGAGATGGGGTTTCACCGTATTGGCCATGCTGGTCTCAAACTGATGACCTTGTGATCCACCAGCCTCGGCCTCCCAAAGTGCTGGGATTACAGGTGTGAGCCACTGTGCTCTGCCTTTTTTTCTTTTTGAGATGGGGTCTCACTTGGTCACCCAGGCTGGAGTACCGTGGCACAATCTCAGCTCACTGCAACCTCCGCCTCCTAGGTTTGAGTGATTCTCCTGCCTCAGCCTTCCCAGTAAATGGGACCACAGTCACATACAACCATGCCTTGCTAATTTGTGTATTTTTGGTAGAGACGGGTTTCACCATGTTGGCTGAAGTGAGGCTGATCTCAAACTCCTTACCTAAGGCGATCCACCTGCCTCAGCCTCTCAAAGTGCTGGGATTATAGGTGTGAGCCACCAGGCCCAGCCTAATCTAATTGATTTGAAGGTTGGTTGTTTTTTTTCCTTCTCCTGTCAGAGCAGGAATAACTCCTAGGCAGGGCACACAGAGTCAGCCTGAAGGTATTCTTTGCATATTCTGGGTATTAACTCATAACTCATTATATATGTGCAATTCTCTTCTAGTTTCTACTTCATCCCTATCCTTCATTTTCCCTCAGCCCCACTATCTTCCATCATCAGCCCTTCCTCAATGTGTCTGCAGCAGGACTCTTGGATAGTTTCCTTCTTCCCAGACCATAAACATCAAGAATTAGTAAAGTGTGTATGTTAGCAGGTGATGTGTTATGAAACAAAACCGAGCAGGTTATAGAAAATAAGCAGAGCTTGGGGTGGGGATGGGGAATAATTTTAAAGTAGTGTATGGCAGAGTAGGTCTTACTGAGAAGGTGCTATTTTACAGGGGTCAAGCCACGTGTGGATATCCAGGGGGAGAACATTTCAGGAAGGGGACACAGTGGAAAAGCCTTAAGA